TGATGAGAGCGAGAGGTGAGATGGGAAGGGACAGTGGAGGTGGCATCAGGTCGGCATTGATTGCAGCCAGCCCCCTTGGTTTTGCTGTGGGGTCCCTCTGAAGTGATCTTAAGAGGTTTGCATTAGTTTTCCTGCAGGCCCTGAAGGGAGAGAGCAAAGCCACAACCCAGAGAAGTCCCTCAGATACAGGCATTCTTAAAAAGGCTTTGAAATTTCCAGGGCACCCATAAAATCCTGGAAATTTTAGTCTGGTATTTATACAAATACCATACGAAGCCAGCAGGTGCTTGGAACCTGTTTTCTGCTCCAGAGTAGCCCCCTACGTTCAGGGGATGAACAAGAGCCCAGGAGGAGGCATCTGTGCCTGGGAACCAAGGTCAGCTTTTGAGAAAAAAATGGCCTCATTCAAAAAAACAGTCCTGCAAAGTGTGTTGCCCCATCCTTGCGGCAAGCAGGTTTTCCAGGCAGGAGCTGTGCAGGCAAGGTTGTACGGGGGTGCCCAGACATGTCACAGCGTTCCTGACAGTTGCGTGATCTCTTTCTTCCATTGGCAAAGACCAGTTTGAGCAACAGTATCTGAGTGAGAGGAGAATAGTCTCCAGGAGTCCCTACCGTGGGGGTTTGGTGACCCCCCATGCTTGAGAGCATCACCCCTGAATGGGAAGAGGCTTTGCCATGGGATGTTTTCTAGCTCCACTGCTTTAATTGTGCGCAGGAGCATCCTAGGGGTCCCAGTGGTGTGACCATACTGCATGGGGTGGCCAGCAATTGCTAGCATCCCCAGGCAACATCCCGTGTCTCTGGAGCTGGTGGATGGGTACAGTGAGCAGGCAGGAGGTGCAAGTGCCACCTTGAGCAATGGCATTAACATCTTCTGGCTTGGGCTTTCCTCAGAGGCATGAAGGTCATCGAAAACAGGGCCATGAAGGACGAGGAGAAGATGGAGCTCCAGGAAATGCAGCTGAAGGAGGCGAAGCACATAGCGGAGGAGGCTGACCGCAAATACGAGGAGGTGCTTGCCCACACCCACGTGCCACCTTCCCCCAGTCCCCCAGCACCTGGGACCACCTTCTTGCAGCCCTGTGCCCCCAGCTGGGGGAAGCATGGCGCTGACATGTGCCTCTTGTTGCTGTCGACAGGTCGCCCGCAAGCTGGTTGTCCTTGAGGGAGAGCTGGAGCGCTCAGAGGAGAGGGCAGAGGTGGCAGAGAGGTGAGTGGGACTCCCGGCGGGCAGCACGCAGGGATCTTACGCAGCCCTTGCCCCAAATCCCTGGCAGCCGTGGGGATGGGGATGTCTGTGTGGGGATGGGGATGTCCCTCCCTGGGAGTGGCAGAGTCTGCCATTGGGGTGGTCACTGGGCTCGCAGGCTGGGGACAGGGCGATGCTGGCCCACCGGCAGCACATCCTTGACCCTGTTCTCTGCTGTCCCCCTGCCGGGGTACCCCTCTTCCATCCCAGCCGAGTGAGACAGTTGGAAGAAGAGCTGCGGACCATGGACCAGACTCTCAAATCCCTCATTGCCTCAGAGGAAGAGGTACTGGGGCAGGGGTGTGGGGCAATGTGCAGCAGGCCCCCTCTCTCTGTTGCTGTCTCTCGAACTGTGCGAGCCACCTCTCTCCTCTCTGCACCACTGCCTTCATCACTGACCTCCCCTTGCCTCCCC